ATATGTTCTCGTTGCGTTAATCGCACAAATTGTGCTCTCATTAAGGGGTTTAGATGCGAAACATGATCCATCTGCACACATTGAACAAGCCGCTGAAAAGGTTCATTTTTGGGACAAATTCTCAGTTTTCATTAATTGACTGATTTTTTAATGATATACTGAATTCAGGTTACAGCTGCCGTTATGAATTTGATAAATTGAGTTTATTCACCGGAATTACATTGCATTCATTAATATATAAAGATGTTCATTGGTTTTTATTATTATACATAGAAATTCTGTTTAATCTATTTGAGATTCAAAAGGTTTTTTTCGAAAATGAGCAATGAATACAGTCGATTTTCAGCGTGCGCATAATCTGCATCGAGTTGATACGTTAATTTTATTGTTATTTGTAACATTACTGGTTCTCATTGTTCTAACTTCGTGGTTTTTCAAACATCATCGATTTCAATTCATCCATGAAACTGGTCTCACTCTATTTTACGGTTCGTTTCGTTCACTCCTAATGAATAGTCGATAATGTTGAATTTAATTGGCAGAAATTTTCGAAACTGTGTTATATTGTGTAGAAATTCAAAAGAGCGTTCAAAATTTATGTTTTCAAATTCAATAATTTTTATCAGCTCGTTGTATGATAATTGCCATCATGAAAATATTCATGAGGCAGCGTTGTTGTTAAGGGTTATTGATTGGTCTGTTGTTGAAATATACAAGTATTGGTGTTATTGAAAGTCAGACGATTGATGTGGTTCAAAAGAATCAAACTCCTGTCAAGGAACCACCCGACTATCTGCGACTTGAGGTAGCATNATTGATGTGGTTCAAAAGAATCAAACTCCTGTCAAGGAACCACCCGACTATCTGCGACTTGAGGTAGCATTCGTTGGAAATTTCATCGTTGCCTCTACTGTCTTATTGTGTCTTTTTGAGTAATTATCTCAAAGTAACTACATATTTATAAGCAATGTATTCTAATTTTTGTTCTTTTATTCATCGTGCACTATTGATCGTTAAAAATGAATATTGAATGCACAGGTGGAACCGCCGAATGCAGCAAAAGTTCAGTTCCACTATGAAATGCTTGAGGGATTCTTCGGTGATACGAAGAAACAGAGCGAACGACAACTTGAGCAAAAGGTTGAAGATGGTTTCATTGCTTGTCATAGTTCGATGAAAATTTGACATTTCTTTGGTATTCATTCATGTTTTGTGTAGGATGCCTTGTGGTGGTTCGGTGAATTGAATTATTTTATTGCGGTGAAGACGGACACATACTGTGTCGTTGTTGTGGCGAAGTCATTTATTGGAATTAATATTTTTATGTTTTAATAAGATTAAGTAAATTTATGAATCAAACGCATTATGAGTAGGTTAGCCATTCGCAGTTTCATTCATCAATTCTTTTTATAGGCAGTATTTTCACCTGAAATCTTCTTCAATTTACTATTGCCACCAGTTATTTTTAATGCTGGTTACAGTCTCAAAAAGGTATTTCTTTTGCTATCGCTATTTTTGAATTATTTCTTATTGCTCTCTGAAAAAAACCTTAGAATCACATGGTTAAAATTTTCATTTCTGCTTTGTTGGTAAATTTTCACGTATTATTTCTGTTCTGTG